ATTATTATTATTATTATTATTATTATTATTATTATTATAGTATTAGATTTAATTTGAAGTTAAATTATATTACTTCTACATTTAGAGTAGAAAAGAGCTATTCCAAATTTTGAAATAATAATGCATGATTGGATACTGAAGGTATATCAGCTCTTGATTCTAAGACTGCGATCTTATGCCTATTTATGTGAAAATAAGTTTCACTGAATACTTCTGATTCAACAGGGAAAGGATTTACATACTGCTGGATCAAAGACTGGCAATTTCTAATCATTTCTCACATCAGCTATAGGTAGGGTTATGAGATCTGGACTACAAACATCCAGATGACCAATAAATGACAATAAATAAATACAAAAAACTTAATTTGTGGACATTTGGATATTTTCAGCCTAAATCTGGTAGCCCTACTATAGGTTCTCCAGACTTTCATACAGTGCGGTAGAGGGTATTTACATTTCTGCTTAGTAATTTGGGGGTTATTCCATATAGGAGCACTGTTGGGGCTCTTAACTCTGTTAGGTTCACTAGATATTCAAGAATTATGTGATTCAATCAAAAGACAAGAGATATCAGGAGAATGAAAACATGAGATCAAAGGAGTCACAGATGGGCAAGTGACCAAGTGTACATCTTCATGTTATGACCCAATCCCTGTGATTGACATACTTATGTCAGATATTAGGATGCAAGTACAAAAGAACAGGGTTTGCATTGTGATGTCAATGTGGGCTTGTAATTTTTGGTCATCATAGCTAACTAGCTATGAATGTCTATGGGTAAGTTAATATAATATAGGTAGTCCTCGTTTAGTGACCACAAGTGGGACCAGCAACTCAATCATTAAGTGAAGTGGTTGCTAAGTGAAACCACTACTATACTTACGATCTTACTTCAGCTTTCTTTTGCTTTACAAAAGAGGTCAAAAGACCTTGTGGAGGTCAAAAAACTTTGTGAAGGTCATAAATGCAAGGATTGGTTGCAAAGTTACTTTTTCATCACCACTGTCACTGCAAGCTGTCGCTAAAAGAGGCAGTTGCTAAACAAGGACTACCTGTATTATACAACGGTAATCTAATTAGACCTTAGAAGGAAGATTAACTTGATGATTCTCTGATATGGATTGATCCAAACCTGAAAAGGAAAGGGCATATTTTCTACTCCAAATAATCTCTTTTGCAAAGAAAGAGATTCCCCAGATCTAATTAAAGGAAAGACACAGATTTTAGATGATTTTTTGGAAGAAGAAGAAGAAGAAGATTTAATTCAACTGTTTGCCACTCTCCCCCCAGAGGAACAACTGATCTTAAGCAAGCTTGAAACAGTTACATCTACTGTATGCTGCAGTCAGCCACCACTGCAACTAAGACTCTTAACACCTTACTTCCTTCTAGTTGCTCCTCTGTGGAAATGCTGCTAGGTCCAGCCTCTGAGAGCCCAAAATCCCCAACAAATAAAAAAAGGTGTGCCAGTCCAAAGCAAAACTTTACAAAAGAAAAGGACATCCAATGGGTCAATGCAGCATAATCTTCACATAATTATTTGGAAGATGTGTCTGTAGCTGATGACCTAATATTACTGGCTCCTGAGTATCAGTCTGAGCAATCTCCAGAAATGCTTCCACCAGCTGATCCCAGCATTATCCACAACTCTGATCTTACTTCTCAAGGAGATATTCCATCCCCACCTTGCCACTCGCCATTGCAAGCCAATATTACCCATAGGAGCCCTGATTTGGGGCAGCTCTCTGCTATCAGCTCTCAATCTGACCTTACTTGTTCTTAGGCTCAGCAATTAGAAAATGAGAAGGATGGTCTGAGTCTACTGTCATTAGCAGTAGCTACTGGGCTCACAGATACAGAGTCATCAGTAACAGATCAGAGTTTTACAAATAATGACTCCTATGATGAAGAAGATCAACAATCACAACCTAGAGAAAGGAAACCTGAATTTGATAACAACTGTGTATACAGAGGAAGTATTGACAACGTTGTTCCAGCCCCAGAAACAAACTGTCAGAATCGTTATCCTTTATCCAATCATCCCACTCAGAACATTTTGTCTCTGAGAGAACCTGGAGTGTAGCTGGCTGTAAAGAGTCTGTTGACAGTGATTTGGTGAGATTCCTTTCTGGATTTGAGATAATAGCCTTACAAGAAATCTGGTTAGCAGGAGAGGATGTACCAGTACAACTCCCTGGTTTTCATTGCTGGTATACCCCTACCCAAAAATTAAAGAATAAAGGGTGAGCCTCTGGAGGCTTATGTATTCTTATTAAAGAAGAATTGCAATGGCAGGGTGAGAAATTATATAATGGGGATAAACTCCCTCATATACTGGCCGTGAAATTCAGATACAAAGACTTTGAGCTTATACTGGTAAATGTTTATATTCCCCCAAATACATCTTCTTATTATAACTCTGATTACTGGATGTGTTTAGAAATAATATTGGAAGAAATAATTACATTACATACTCAAGCCATAATCATATTACTTGGTGATTTTAATGCCAAATTAGGCCAATCTCTTCATGATTTTGCTCGATAT